TTGTTCAGCACGCGTCGCTCCTCGAAATTTGGCACTTCCCCGCCATTCATTTCGACGAAGCGCGCGGAGCCGTGATCTCGCCACTGAGTCCCAAATACCAATTCATGCGGAGAGTACCCCGTAACGTCGTGCCTAGCAGAGTTAACCGCCATCGCGATGTAGTGCAAGTTCTTATCCCAGTTACGGTGGTTGTCTCGCACATACGAGGCAATCATGGTCTTAAGGACGCGGTTGACGCGCTCCGTAGGGTTAGCCTGAGGGTGGTAAGCGTAGCTGAAAACTCGTTTCACCCCGTACTTTGTGCACAGCGCGTCGACCTCGGCGCTCTTGTAGTTAGCACCGTTGTCCGTGAGCAAGGTGCCCGGGACCGCAAACTTCAGAAAAACGTCCTCCTCTAGATGACGCACTACATTACAGGCCTTCATATTACGCAAGGGGCGTAACCAGACGTACTTGGAAAACAAGCAGGTGGTCACAATGAGGTACGTATAGCCAGAATATGACCTTGGAAAAGGTCCCATCAGATCACTGGATACAAACTGAAAAGGGGCGTCGACAACGCGCTCCTTACCCATCATGCCCACCGGCTTCGCCTGCGGCACCTTGTACTGAATACAAGTACCGCAGGAAACCACGTACGCCTGGACGTCCTTACGCATTTTAGGCCAGTAATACTGGTCCCTGAGATAATTTAAGGTCTTATTGATGCCGCGATGCCCAGACAGGGGTCTATCATGGCACTCAAAAAGTACCTTCTCACGCAACTCTTTCGGTATAACGCGCCTCCATTCCGAAGGGCGTAACCCTGTGCTGACCAACTTAAAGATTTGTTCACCTTCCACCTTCCACGAAGGGAACGAATCCGGGTCTGCCTCTATCCGAGATTTCTGTTTGATATACCATTTGTCCTCAGCCGGCCCCTCGACAGATATTAGGTCGACGGTCTCCCCCTCATATGGTAGAGGACTCCGGGAGAGGGCATCAGGGGCCTCGTGCTCCTTGCCCTTCCGGTGGACAATGGTATAGTCAAATTGCTGGAGTCTAACCGCCCAGCGTCCCAGCCTGCCACAAGGGTCTTTAAGGTTATTTAACCAGGTGAGCGACGCATGGTCGGTTATGACTCGAAACTTGTAGCCCTCTAGATAGCATCTTAGCTTCTCTATCGCCCACAGCACAGCGAGACACTCCAGTTCAGTGGGGAAATACTTTCGTTCGGCAGCCGTCAGGGACCTACTTGCGTAAGCAATAGGCTTCCCATCCTGTGATAGCACGGCGCCTATACCCACTCCACTGGCGTCACAGTACAGGTCGAACTCTTTTGAGAAGTCAGGGCACGACAATATAGGTGCGGACATGAGCTTCTCCTTTATAGAAAGGAAAGCATCCTCACAGTCCTGCGACCACACATATTCGGCTTGCTTTTTTGTCAGAGCATGCAAAGGGCCCATGAGCGAAGCAAAGTTTGGGACGAAGCGACGGTACCAAGACGCCATGCCAATGAAACGTTTAATTTCCTTAGCATTAGTAGGTCGAGCGTACTCCGCTATCGCCCTCACTTTTTCCGGGTCTACGTGCAAACCATCCTCGTTTACCACGTAGCCCAGGTACTTCAACTCACTGCGGCAAAACACACTCTTTTCGAAATTTATAGTAAGATCAGCTTTCTCTAAGCGGTCTAACACTTTCGACAACAATTCAGTGTGCTGCGAGAAGGTTTGACTCACTATAATAATATCATCCAGGTAGACGAAGACGTAAGGTTTCAGATCCTCACCAAGAACTTGGTCTATAAATCTTTGCCAGGTTGCCGCAGAAGTGTGCAAACCCTGAGGCATCCTTCGAAACTGAAATAGTCCTCTTCCTGGAATGATAAAAGCTGTCTTCTCTTTGCTACTCTCTTCGAGAGGAATTTGAAAGTAAGCCGACTTTAAATCTATGGACGAAATGTACTTTGCGTCTCTTAGCTGATCCAGGATGTCGTTCACCTTGGGCAGCGGATATGAGTCTGCCGTGGTTACTTTATTCACCGACCGCAGATCCACCACCCAGCGGTAAGATCCATCGGATTTCTTCACTAAAAGAACCGCGGACGCCCAGGGGCTGCTAGATGGTTCCACAACCCCCATGGCGAGCCATTCGTCCAACCCTTTATGCAGGACGTCAAGGAGCTTGGGAGAGTACGAATAGTACCGCTGCCGAATCGGCTTAGCATCGCCAGTGTCGATTCGGTGCTCGAGGAGTTTGGTACAGCCCAAACCCCCTCTCCCAAGTGTCGTCCGATAACGAGCGACTACATTGTCTAACAGAGCCCTCTCCTCGACTGTGAGCTTATCCTTTGGGACGATAACCTCGTTAATCTCCGGGAGATTGGCCTCTGCTAAAACACATGTGCCTTTCACAACGTCTGGAAGTAATCCAAACCTCCTCCAAAAATCAAGACCAAGGATTACTTCCTGTTTAAGGCCAGGGACAACTAGGAAAGAGCACACTTTCATTTTACCGTCAAGTACGACCGGAGCATCTAGCCTACCAAGCACAGGACATGTCTGCCCGTTAGCCACCTTAACATTTTTTGTACTAGACTCCATCAACTTGACGTCCGAACGCTGCAAGCGCTCCCAGCTGTCCCCACCTATGATTGAAATTTTGTTAAAAGATGTGAGTTTATCCCAGGCCTTACCACCGATTGTGGACACTGTCGCCCCCGAATCGAGAAGGCCAAAGAATCTAACTCCATAAATATCGACGAGCACATAAAGACGCCCGTCGTCCAGGACCTCTACGTCCACTACCTCTGTTTCAGGATGAAGGACCTTCCTATATCGCAGTGAACGAGCCCGGCCCTTCCCGGCACGCCCCCTTACGCTTCCCCCGTCTGCTTACAACGGGGACAGTTCCGCACGGACACATCCTTATGCCCGCACTTGAAGCAGAACATCTTCTTCCTCTCCTTCTTGCAGTCGGAATGGCGATGACCCGTCTCGGCGCAGTTCCAACAGGTCAACTTCGGTCTCTCAGAACGCTCAGGTTTCTCTGTCCTACGCTCCTCCTCCCCCTCAGTCTCCACCTCATGCACTAGAGGCTTCGAACGAGGACGAGGGGACTTAGCGGCAAACTCGGGCTCCATTTTACGGACACGAGACTTTCCCTCGTACACGTCCACCCGATGCCTGCTAGCCTCCAACTCCTTACCAAGTTTCTTTAAATGCTCAAAAGACTTTATGCCTACAAGGGACAAATGTTCGGTGTAATAGGGTGCAAGATTTTTAATGGTCATGGAGAGTTTCCAATTATCCTGCTGCTGATACTCCTCTTCGAGTCCTGATCCCAAACGATCGAACAAGGAACGCATGTTAGCAACATAAATGCCCATACTCTCATCCGGACCTTGCTTGCGAGCCCTTATCTCTTCCATCAGATTGTCATAATAATTCAAAGGGAGAAATTCTTTGCGTAAGGCAATTTTAAATTCTTCCCAACTATCGATGGTAGAGTACACCGAACGGAACCAATTTTTAGCATCACCGGTAAAGAACTCTGAGGCGGCAGCTACAAGGCAGTTGGGGTCAACCCGACGCCATTTGGCCTTTTCCTCAATGTCGGTGATGAAACTGCAAACACTGACTGTTTGGTCACCAGAGAAAGGCTGAACTCCCCATTTGGCAAGATCAGTAGGCACTTTCTTGGACAAACGCAAGTTTGACAGTTTCTTTACAACAGTAGAGTCTGAAGAGCTACCACTAGAGCTGGAAGTGCTTGAAGAGCGGGAGGTGGAACTAGACTGAGAAACCGAACGTTTGGACCTACGCTTGGACTTTTTACTCTTCTTGCTCTTCTTGGACTTCCTGCTTGCCTTTGGAGACTCCTTACGCCCTCCCCCCTCAGGCTTCCCCTTGACGCGCACCTGTGGGCCTTGAGGCGGCACCCAACCAGGCACAACAGAGACACTCTCTACTTCCGTAGCCGCATAAAGATTGGTATCTCCGTAAGAACGGAACTCAGCGACAAGGGTTTTAAGAAGCTTGGCAGACTTCTTCATTTCAACCCGCTCCTCGCCTTCCCACCGACCTAATTTCCCAGAGGTCATAAACCCCAAACGCCTATTGCAGTGCGAGGCTAACGCTCGCACACGAGGGGCGGTAGCAGGGTCGAACACGCCCGATTCCGGACGCACCATCTCGGTTAAAGACTCAACTTTAGAGTCGAACTGAATGAGGGCCTCGTCCATGGAGGTCCGAGGCAGGTCAGGGTCAAAGACCGCACCTTCCCTCTCCTGATCCATCAAAGATTTTAAAAGAGGACGTAGCTCGCTAACCGTCTTCCTCGCCTCATACAAATTTTGGCCTCTCAGACCAATCTCAAACAACAGCTCGTCCTTCAATAACCGTGAGACATCCATAGCGCTAACGATGAAAGTTCACTCACCAAAGAAGAAAGCCAAAACTGCAGCAGCAGCCGAAAATTAAAGTTGTAGTTTGAAGTAAATCCACACGACGGTCCACCACGCGTCGCCCCCAGCAGCAGAAAATAAAGGTAGCTTGAAGTGAAGTCTCTCTCCATCACTCGCCAGCCTCGTAACCTCGGAAAATTTAAATAAATATTAGCAAAAGATAAAACAAGTAGACAATAATCTCAATTTAATACTCTAAAGTATTAACAGTAATAATAATAAACTATATAGAAATAGAATAAATAGTAAATAGTAACAACACACAAAACAGGTTAGGATTCTAATGTAAGCAGCAAACAATCCAAACCTTCATTATTTGGGTGGACCAAGTCCAGCCCCTCACGACCAG